TGCGTGCATGCCCAAGATCCCGAGAGGAGAATGGAGGAGAAGGGATTGTGGCGTGACCATCCCCCCTGGGGGGTGATTTCTCGCTTTCTATCTCTATGTCTCTGTCTGTCTGGCGAGCGCATGCGCCCTATAGTGAAAACCTCTCCCTCCCCCCAAAAAAGAACTAATCTATAATACTCTTAAAATTCAATTAAAAACTCAAAAACCCAATAACTCAATTTTTAAAAATGGGCAAAGGATCTGAATACATGTCTTCAAAAAAGATATACAAATGATCGATAAGCACATGGAAAGATGTTTGATATCTCCAGTCATCAAAGAAATACAAAGCAATGGGACCAGCAGTTAGCATAATGGCTATGTTGCTGAACTCCCATGTAGTCCACCGTGGTTAAAGTCCTGGAGCTGGTGGCTTAAACTCACGCCGGGCACGTGTGCGTGTGTGCCCAAGATCCTGAGAGGAGAATGGGAGAGAAGGAATTGTGGCGTGGCCACCCCCCCGGGGGTGATTTTTTGCTTTCTGTCTCTCTGGCGAGCATACATGCCCTGTAGAAAAACCTCTCAAAAACAAAAACAAAAACAAAAAAAAAGAAATACAAAGCAAAACCATAATACCGCCCACCAGATCTGGGACTCAAATCATGGTCAACTACATGAGAGTCCAGTGACATAACCATTATACTATCTGCTAGTTCCAAGTTTTTCATTTTTAAACCAGATACCACTTCACATCCACTAAGATGACAAGAATCAAAGTCAGATAACAAGAGTTAGTGAGGATAAGGAGAAATTGGAACTGTCATATACTTCTAATGTAAAATGTGGAGCCACTTTAGAAATCAGTCTGGCAGCTCCTTAAAAAAAATAAGAATAACCAGGTAACCCAGCAATTCTACTGGGTTGTCTGAAAAGTCATGATGCATTTTTCCACAGAAAAACATGAAAAAAAAGTCATTACTTTTCCAATGGCCTGAGATATATATTCATCTCCAAGATAAATTAAAACTCATGTCCACACAAAAACTGGTACATGAATATTTATAGCAGTATCATTCATGATAGCCAAAAGTAGAAACAACCCTAATATCCATCAACTGATGAATGCATAAAGAAAATGCTGCACATCTATACCATAGACCACTGTTTGGCTATTAAAAGGAGTGAAGTACTTACACATGTCCTAACATAATTAAACCTAGGAAGAAGCCAGTCAGAAAAGACAAATTATAGAGACTGAACATAGATTAGTGGTTGCTTAGGGCTAGGGAGAAGGAGTATAGAAGAATGATAGCCAAAGGGTAATAAATTATTTTTTTGAAATGATGAAACTTGGGACCAGCAGTTAGTGTAATGGCTATGTCGCTGGACTCCCATGTAGTCAACCCCGGTTCGAGTCCTGGACCTGGTGGCTTAAACTCATGCCAGGCGTGTGTGCATGCGTGCCCAAGATCCCGAGAGGAGAACGGAGAAGGGATTGCAGCATGGCCATCCCCCCGAGGAGAGGTGATTTCTCGCTTTCTGTCTCTCTGTCTCTCTCTGTCTTTCTGGCGAGCACATGTGCCCTATAGCAAAAACCTCGCCAAAAAAAGAAATGATGAAACTTAAGATCGATTATGGTGATAGTGATATATATCACTGAATATACTAAAATCTATTGAATTACACACTTTAAATGGGAAACTTGTATATGAATTATATCTCAATAAAGGTGTTTAAACAATTTCTGGCTCACTACAGTCAATGTCTTTTTTTTCTTTGAGATATTTTTGCTATAGGGTATGTGCACTGGAGAGACAGAGACAGAGATATCACTCCCTAGGGGAATGACCATGCTGGAATCCCTTCTCCTCCATTCTTCTCTCGGGATTTTGGGCACACACACAAATGCACCTAGTGTGAGTTTCAAGCCACCAGGGAGTCTGGGACTTGAACTGCAGTCAACAATGTGGGAGTCCAGTGCCCTAACCACTATACCACCTGCTGATCCCAGACAATGACCTTTTATTTAAAAAATTGTTTATTTCATTTATTATTATTTTTTAATTTAACCAGAGAGACAGTGAAAGAGGAAGTGAGAAAGCAGGATTGGCCCTGTGGGAGTTCAGCACCTTAAGTACCACGCCACCTGCTGGTCCCACATCAATGTCTTTTTAAACTTGGATGAAAGGCACTGAGGAGAAACTATATGATGTTTGAGTTTCTACCATTTAAATATTAATGAAATAAGCCCCAAATTCTATTATTCAAAATTCAAAATCCTATTAATATTAATTGATATAGGAGAACTGAATAAACCATAAAATTTAAATATTATCATAAGAAATCTTGCAATTTTCAGAATTTTTTTTATGTTTAAGATGTTTCCCTCTGTTAAGAATGTTCTAGGTCCAGAAGGTGGTATGAAGATTAAGGCAGCTGCATCCCACATAACTGACTCCACAGTTTGAGTCCCAGACTCCATGGCTTGAAAATCACATCAAGGAGGCCGGCAGGTGGTGTGGTAGTTAAAGGAGCTGGATTCCCACATGGCCCACCATGGTCTGAGTACTGGACCTGCAGCTTGAAACTCATGCTGGGCACATGGGTGTCAATGCCCAAGATCCCAGGAAGAGAACATTAGCGAAGGGATTGCAGTGTGGCATCCCTCCTGGGAGGTGATTTCTCACGTTTCCTCGTCTCTGTCTCTGTGTGTCTCCCTCCTCCCATAAGTGCACGTGCCCTAAGGCATGAAAATATATAGTTAAGTACAACAAATACAAATAACTTTAAAACTGTTCTTGAGTGACAGGTAATGGATTTAAAATTTGCCACAAAGATGTACAGCAATGAGATGTAAATAAAAAAAGAAAACCACACTGTACCCCAGAAAGATGTAAAACAATTAAATATAAATAGGTAATTATTAAAAATAAACAAAAAGGATGCAATAAAAGGCATTATAAACATAACTACCTTCATAAATTAAGGATAAGTAGCCGGCCTGTGCACTCAGAACCCCACTGCATTTTCAAATCAAGGGATAATCATGTTTATATATTAATTTAGGACAGCTGATGTTGTGGGAAGAAAGAAAATTATGATTTTGGTCTATCAAGGAGCATGCCTGTCAGCAAGGAAGTTAACTGGTGTAAACTCGATTTGCCACTTATTAATAGGAAGCCTGCTGTCATCTCACAGTGCCCTCCAACTTGATCATTCCAAATGAGTAAAATCTGAACCATAAGCAAATTGGTACTGGATTCCATTACTAACTTTCCAAAGTAGTTCAGTCTTAATTGCATTTAAAGGTATGCAGCCTGGGAACGGTGTTTATCCATCTCTTAACGTCAGAGAAATCTTGTAAATTCTATGAGAGCCTCTAACGAATCCGGTGCCCACAGTTAGGAACCTCCCACCCTGTTCCCTTTAGCGGCCCACAAAGCTTTTCTTCACCTCTTCCTCAAATTACTAACCGTAATTTCCTTTACTTACTATCGCTCCGAGCCCTGAGAATCTTTGTTCTCAGTGTTCTCGCTGACCTGAGGTCACGAGGGCAACCTTTTCCCTATGAGGTTCTGGTGTCCTTCACCCTACACTTCCATTTGAACCGCATCTCACCTGGTAGATTCGAGCGGTTCCCAAAGCACCGAGCTGATGTGACCTCCACTGCGGACCTAAGCCACGGACAGAGACTAGAGGCCCGAGCAGAATCGCCGAGCGCCGGCGCTTTTCGAAAGCAGCCGCCGCGGCTTCCCAACGCCAAGAATGTATCGCGAGCAGCGCCATCTTGAGCGGGGAAAGAGAAAGCGAGAGAAGAGGATTGTGGGACACTGGCGGACCGACCTCGTCTACCTTAATCATCTTCTCCCTCCCCCCTGGTTTTTCCGGGCTCGGTGAGCGGAAGTAGCTTCTGTCTCAGGACTCTGGTGTTTTTCCTTAGCATCTTCTTTTTCCGTGGCAGAACATTGATTGTTTTTCTTGCATAAACGGGGAAATTGGAATAACACTGTCTTTCTCTTTTTTCCTAGCGTTACGAGATAAAATACAAGGCGCCCAGTTAAATTTAAATTTTAAGTAAACAATGAATCATCTTTTCAGTAAGAGTGTGTCCCAAATATTGCACGGGAAAACCTGTCTTGTCCAGCATTCCACTCTTTTTTTTACTACCTCTAACTCAGCGCTGTGCACCACTCTCTCCGTTTTCCCTTATATATTCTTATCTCCACGTTCCTGTGCACCAACGCTTGGGGTAGATTAAACTACAGACATTAACTTCCCTTGGGAGGAGGCTTCATGTGTAAGAGTCCCTGCCTCTGCCCTGTAAGCGTTTTTATTTTGCTGATTGTTCTCTTTTAGCACAAATCTTGAGGCGTTGTCCTTTGGTCCGTTGCTGTTGGGACAGTTAAACACGCACACCCTACAGACGTATTAACTCTGCTAGTTTGCTTCTTTTTCTAGCTTTTTCCATGGCTTCTGCAAAGTTTCTAATTATTAAGAAAAGAAAATGCTAGATTGGCTGGCTAAGAGATGATAAAGTGAAAATATATATAGGGAAATCTTATGTTTAAAAACAGGTATATAGGGCCACTCTGTAGTGCAGTGATTAAGCCCTGCATAGAGAGAGCCTGATCCCCCATAGCCTAAGTGACTGACTGCAGTTCCAATCGCAGCAACTTGAGGCCTGAAAGATCGATGGAAGAATGAGGAAAGGAGATTCTAGTGTAAACAGGCCTCCATTGTCCCTTCCTCCTCAACCATGCACATGAGCCCTGTTGCATATTAAAAGAAAAACAAACAAAAAATAGGTTTATATCCTTTGGCCACCATGATCATCAAACAAAATGTCAAAATATGCCTACGGCTAATCTGGGAAACTTCATCTCCAAATGTAAATGTTATCTGAAACCTTGGAGACAATAATACAGTTGGGATTTTATATCCATTGCTGCATTCTCTAGCCTTTCACACAAGACTGGCAAATAATTATTAACTTCCTATGTAGAGACACTGTGGACTAATAATAAGTGTGATGAAGAAAGACAAAAGATATGCATAGACTATTCAGTTAGTTATACTTTGTTCTTAGATTCACAGGTCACCCCAGGTTTCCAGGAAAAGGGTTGCCTGAGCTAGATATTTAAAGAGAAGCAGATTCAGATTGAAGAGGTTAAAGAGAATTCCATATAAGAAGATGGCATGGGGGCAGCGGGTGATGTGGTGAATAAGGTGTTGGGATTCCCACATGGCTGACCATGGTTCAAGTCTTAGACCTGGCAGCTTGCTTTCTCTCTCTCTCTCTCTCTCTCTCTCTCTCTCTCTCTCGTGAGCACATGTGTTCTGTAGCAAATTTAAAAAAATAATAATGATAGGGGCCAGCAGGTGGTGGCATACTGGTTAAGGCACTTGGACTCTCACGTGGTCAACTGCAGTTCGACTCCCATAGTGGCAGCTTGGGTGCATGTGCATGTGTGTGCTCAAAATCATGAGAAGAAAATGGAGGAGACGGGATTACAACATGAGCATCCCCCTGGGGGGGGTGTGATTTCTGCCTCTCTCTGTGTTGCCAGAGACCACATTCATTCTTTAGCAAAAATCTCTCTCTCTAAGAAAGAAATAATAATAATGATAAACAAAATTAAATAAATCTATATATATATAAAAAAAGAAGAAGAAGATGGCATCTTAAGAGCAAAATGGCATGGGCCGGCTCTGTGGCCTGGTGGTTAAGATAGCTGGATCCCACATGGCTGACCACACAATTTGAGTCTCAGACCCAGAGACCTGAGACACTCTGGGTGGGTATACATGAATGTGCATGCCCCAAATCCCAACAGGATGGAGAAATAGAGATGGGATTGTGGCATGACCATGCCTGATTGCAGGGGTGCTTCCTCTTGCTCTTTCTCCCTCTCTTTCTCTCTGGCAAGCAAGCACAGGCACCCCTTGGCAAGAAAGAAAGAAAGAAAGAAGAAAGAGAGAGAGAGAGAGAGAGAGAGAAGAGAAGAGAAGAAAAAAGAAGAGAAAACAAAGAAGAAAAGAAAAGAAAAGAAGAAGGCATAAGCATACATTTTCAGGCTCAGAAGTCTAGGGACTATATGGCAAAGTAGTAGGTGACTCTGAGCGAAGAGAAGCCAGAGGGTGAAGGACATTCTATTTATTCTAAGTTAATGCCTTATCCTGTAGCCAGTGAGGGATTTTAATAAGTGAATTATGACCAGATGTATATGCCCATTATACTACTCTGACTTAAGTAGGAAGGTTGGATGTGAGGCAGTTCAAATAAGAGTCATAAAGTTAATGCAATAGTTCAGTCATTAAATAAAATCCTGCATTTGACAATAGCAGTGGCAGTCGATCAGTTCCAGGGATATTAGGAGATAGAATTGACAGAACTTAATGACCTATTGGATCTTTCTAGCTTATTATTGTCTTGTTGACAGTACATCATTTATGGCCTGTTTTATTAATGACTGTATCATTATCAATAATATTTATACAGCATATATTCTGTGTTAGCAACAGTCTACATTAGAGAAACTCTATATTCTATCAATGATTTCTATTATAATTGAATATTGCAACTGAATCTTACTGCTCCAACAAGGCATGGTCCAGGGATGCTGTAATGAATACATCATGACTTTACTGACAACCTAATATTTTGTGAGAGATTATCAGGTATAATGTAATGAAATAATATATTAAATTTTTATACTCTCAGAAACACACCCATTACCTTACTGGATCATAATAGCAGTTTTCTGGATCTTAATAACCATTATCTATGGGTGTAGCTACCGGTCCCTAGTAGATAAAGAGGATCAGAGCCTGGGCCAACTGATGGTATGGTGGTTAAGGTGGCTGGATCCCATATGGTCAAATGTGTGGTTTGAGTCTCAGAACCAGCAGCTTGAAAAACATACCCATCGTGTGTGCATGCATGTCCAAAATTTTGAAAGGAAAAATGGAGAAGAGATTGCAGTGTGGCCATCCTTCCTTGGGGGGGGGGGAATTTCTCATTTTCTCTTTCTCGCTCCCTCAGTCTTTGGTGAACACATGCACCCTATAGCAAATTTAAAAAGAAAGAAAGAGAAAAAGAGGACCTGAACCATGTGGTGCTAGAGCCGAAACTATTGGGTCGTGGGTCATTAGAAAAGTCACGACACATTTTTGCATAGGAAAACATAGAAAAATACGTCATGACTTTTCCAGTGTTTCAATACAATAGAACCATGGTATTCTGGCTGCTATTTCTCTAGCCACTAGAACATGTTACCTACACACAAACACAAGATTCAGTGAAAGTCTCTAATGTCTATATAGAGTCATAAGATTTTAAATGAGGAAAGGATTCAGAATCTGAAGAATCTACACCTGACCTGACAGATGATTTCTCAAGATTCTAGTTTTATACTATAGGCATTATTTAAATCTTTTTTTTTTCTTTTTGAAGAATTGTTATTATTTTTTAAATTTATTTATTTATTTGTTGTGAATTTTGGACTGCGAGATCCCAGACTTGAACCACGGTCAGCCATGTGGGAGTCCAGCATCTCAACCACCATGCCACTTGCTGGCCCCAATAATTATTATATTTAATTTTCATTTATTCTCATTACTTTAAAAATTTGACCAGAGAGAGAGAGGGAAAGTGAGAAAGGAAGCCACCAGATCCGGGACTCATGCTGTGGTTGACCATGTGAGAGTCCAGCACCTTAACCACCAGGCCACCTGCCAGGCCCTAGGATAGGCGTTATTAACTTAGAAAAACCAACTGTGAGGTTTTAAATGCAGTCAGTATGTTTTTACAGAAATAGTGGCCATTATAAGCCTATTCCTCTGATTTAGAAATATACATGACATTAGAATACCTAATTAACTACTCTGTGAGCTAAAGTACAGCAGGCATTTATATACCAAGTAAGCCAAAAAGAATATCCAGTGTTCCCAGAAACAGATAAAGCATCGTAAGCTTTGCACACTACTGGGAAACAGCCACAACAGACAGACCAAATTGGCTTGCAACAACTTAACTTTTATGTTTGTGATATAAATTAAAGAGACAGAAGTACATACAACAAAAGATGCTATGAATAACTACTGCAACCATACATCATATGATAGCACTTTATGTATCAATAACTGTATAGTATTTTTTCATAACTTACCTTAGTTAATCGCATATCCTGGAGAATATATATTATGTGTTGTTCATATTTATGAGGGAACTGAGGCTTAGATAGGTTGTGACTTCACAAATGCCACAGCACTAATGTAATGGAGACCAAACATAGGTTTTATGATGGAATACAGTACTCTTTTCACTTAACTACACCTAAAACATAGAACTTTGTCTTATGTACTAGAGTACTTTAAGAAAGCCACAGTGCTTTTTTTTCTGGTTTTGGAAAATATTAGACTTCGTTCTCAGGTCACAGCTTATGCCCTTGCTTTCCCCTTTACCTGAAACATATTTCATGTAAAATTTTAATTAAAAAAAATTTTTAGACATATTTTTTCTATAGGGTACATACACTCGCCAGAGAGATAGAGAGACAGAAAGCAAGAAATCACCCCCAAGGGGGATGATCATGACGCAATCTCTTCTCTTCCATTTTCCTCTCACGATTTTGGGCATGCATACACACATGCTCGGTCTGTTTTAGGCCACTGGATCCAGGACTCAAACTGCCATTGACTACATGGTAGTTCAGTGACATAACCATTATGCCATCTGCTGGTCCTCTAAAATTTTTTAATTGTCAGAGGGTATGTACACTCACCAGAGGAAGACAGAGAGACAGAGATGAAGAGTGGACATGATCACACCACAATTACTTCTCTATTTCTGCATCCTGTCAGAATTTTGGACACACACACACACACACACACAGAGCATGTTTCTAAAGCCACCAGGGTCAGGCTTTGAACTGAAGTTGCCCATGTAGGATCCAGCTCTCTTAACCACTAGGCCCAG